GTGGTTTTCAGTATTTTGACATTTGAGATTATGAGTTTAGCAGGTTCAGATGTCAGGAATTTTTATCTTTTGAGAGTCCAGCGTTGAAGGTTATGGCTTTTGGGGCTGGCTTTGGGGATTGTGATCGGCACTGACTGGTGAAAGCAGTGTAGAGAAGCAAGGTTGGGGGCACTCTGTGACGGCGGGAGGGTGCTGCTCCGCACCGCCCAGCCGTGTCATCCTGACACTTCCCGTGGGGTGTGCACACGCCTGCAGGTGTGCTCTTTTATTAGCTCTGATGTAAAACCAGTGAGGGTGAGATTGCCCTAGACGGCCTCCGGTTTCCTGGCTTGACGTGGTTCCCGGGTTCCAGTTGCCAATGTGGGATGTTACCTTGCCTCGTGTTTCTTTATTCCTGCACAGCAATCCTCCATCAAAAGTTACTACTTTTTAAATCTCCTCTTTTGCTGGAAATTGTAACTCACAGCTTGGTTTCTTAATTTGCATGCATCCAATAGAGCACTGATTTTACTGTTGTAATATGAGGTGTTGGATTTTTTTAATTATAGAAGTTGTTTCTGGGAATAAATTTAGGAAGAAAAAGGTGTAAAATGTTCATCAGCATTGTTTTTAATAGCAGAATAGTATCTAGCCTAATGGTTTTAGTAATTGGAGAATGGTTTGGTTAGATTAGGGTATATGCAGGTGAGGGATGGGTGTACACCCATAATCCCAGCACTCTGGCAGGCCGAGGCAGGAGGATTATGAGTTTTTGACCAGTCTGGGTACCTTAGAAATTTATGGAGACTCTATTTTAAAAAAATAAAAGGCTGAAGATGTATGTCAGGGCCAAAGCTCTGGGTTTAATCCCCAGCACCCTCCCCCACACCCCCCCCCCACGGTGTCTCCACTTAGTAAAATGCCTGTATTGTCATTAACATTATTGTGATCATTGTAAGAGTAGAAGAAAGGCTTATGTTTTAAAACGCAAGATACAAACATTTTATTGGGATTAGAGATATGGAGAAGCAGCTTGTATACACCGGTTAGGCTGCAATAGAAAATTAAACCTCTGATTTTTTTAGGTAGCAGTAGGGAGCCATTTCTCCCGGTGAACGGTGGAGCCCAACAAGCGGGCGGTGCAGGAAAAGCGGGGATCCGAGGTTCAGAGCCCCAGATGTGCACGCTAGGTGGCGCTGCCCACCCAGGCGTGGGGCCTGGGGTTACCGTGGGTTACCGTGGTGCTGCCGCCCCCACCCCCGCCCCCGCGCCTCCCTTCTGGGTTCTTAGTGCTGATATATATAATGTTTATGTAAGTATTTAAATGTGCAGAGCCATTTTAATTTTCAGCCTAGTTTACTGTATTTTTCTGTCTTTTCTACCTTAACATGTCCCCAGTGAGAACTTTTGGACCCAGTTTAAACCTTTTTTTTTTTTTTTTTTTTTTTTTTTTTTTTGTCTTTTTGAGACAGGGTCTCCTATGCAGCTTCAGGCTGACCTTGAGCTCACTTTGTAGCCCAGACTGGTCTCGAACTCGCAAAGATCCCTCTTGCCTCAGCTTCCCGAGTGCTGTGAGACACCACCTCTGGCTTTGAGTTTGAATGTTTTGCAGTATAAATTCATGCATATAACTGAGGAAATTTGCCGAGAGTTGAAGTCGTAGCATCTTTCTGTAGTGTCGAGTGAGGGCAGTTTAGGATTTTGCCGTGAATTGAGGATACAATCAGTTTCTGTCTCTTTGCCTTTGTCCTTTATAACATGAGTAGGAAATCTCATTAGAATCCCTGCGCCCAATTTTTTATGTCCTCTCTGCCTCCTGGTGTTTTAGATTCGCTAACACACGATGCCGCAAGTTTCAGCACTATTAAGCTGGGTCCCTCAGCCTATGAGGTGCCCTCAGTGTGAGGTGCAGCCTAAATCCAAAGGTGTTAAAATGTACAAAAAGTGTGAAGTTATATGTAAGGTGTGTGTCCTTACATTACAGGTAGAAGGAAGCCAACGTTTGGGGATATTATTCTAGATCTTTTTTTTTTTTTTTTTTGCCTTTTTCCTTTTTTATCGGTACCGGGGATCGAACTCATGACTGCCTGCTTGCAAGGCAGGCACTTAGCTGCTGAGCTAAATCTCCAGCCCCATTATTCTAGATCTTAAAAATGAGCCCAGGCTTCCTGTTCAGCAGCTGCCCGACTCCGAGCCCAGCCTTTTACTCTGGTCAGTCACGGATTTGGATGTCAGAAGCTCACATCCAAGTGGGCAGATAAGCCTGACCAATGCAAGACAAGTACTTAATCTAACTCTGCATGTTTTAAACAGAATATATTTGGGCTGTGGTGATAAAACAAGTGGGCAAAACAAGAAAACTGGTTGGCTTCTTGACGAATCTCAGTGGACCTTTGGAGGATTGATGTTCCTCGAAACGACGGGATTGTTGGGGCACCCTGCACTTTCTCAGCTGATGCTGTCGTGGCTTCCAGGGTCCGAGTTGTGAGTGATGCTGCTTGTAATGTGAGGAGCAAGAGCTACTTCACTGGCTGTCGGCTTACAGTGTAATTAGGAGGAGAAGAACCCAAGGCTGGAACAGTTCAGATGGATGCCCCACCTGCGCCTTGCGATGCTTGGACTCTGGATTCATAGGCGGGAAGTGCTCCTGGAGAGACCAGGCGCGAGGAGAGGGAGGAGCAGGGTTGGTGATGACGTGACGTGCCGTGCCAGGGAGCGCGGCCAGCTGTGAGCCTGAGGCCGACGGTGGGTGCTTGAGGGGCGCAGAGCCATGATGTGAGGCCGAGGAGTTGCTGGCATCCCTCTGGCATACACTCATTTCCTTGGGGCCCTGGACGGCACCCCAGGTCTCTGGTTGTGTGTGGTTCTTGGCTGCTGCCTCTGAGCTTGGGGTTTGCAGACACCCCGGTTTCCCTACCCCCGCCACGTCACTTGGTGCCTTCGGTCCTTGCTGGTGTGGGGCTTGTGCTCCAGGCCCTGTGGATCTCAGTTAAGCACTGCTCACCTGAGAGCCCACAGTGACCTCCTGCCCCAGGCTCCCGAGTGCTGGGGTTACAGGCGAGCACCGCCATGCCCAGGGACATCCCCGTTGTCACTAGTAGGTGCCATGCAGTTGTGAGCTACATGACAGGGTCTCAGTCCCCAGTGAACTGTGTGTGCACATGTGCCCCGAGGCTTAGGCGGTCTGGTGGTGATGTGGCCACCCAAGCTCACAGTTCACCCTCCAGCGTGCCAGCAGGGGGAGACCGCCTGTGCCTCGGGACCCATCTCCACTGCGGGTGGAGCATGGCCGTATCCTTTCCTCTGAGGGTGTCATCCTTTCTTATTATTTGATGAAGGGAGTTGGTTCTCCAAGCTTGTAGTGACTTGAGGATTTATACTCGGTTGTAATTACTTAGCTTTTTCCTAGTCCTGGGGTTTGAACCCCAGGCGTCTGCACTGAACAGCTGCCTAGGCTATGCTCAGACTTGTAGCCTTACTGCCTCAGCCTTCTAGCGTGCTGGGATTACAGGCATGTGCCACCACACTGGGCTTGGCATCTGGGTCTTGCTGGCAGTGTCCCGAGACCTGGTTGGGAGTAGGGGCAGCACCTGGCAGGTGTTGAGGACACACCAGCCTTGAGCTGCTGGCTGCACAGCTCTGGCCTGCTTCTGCTGCAGCCCTAACACTTCCCTGCTCTCTAACCCCCTGTTGATAATTGATTAAACCTCATTCAGATTACTGTGTGACTTCTGGGGGTTCAGCTTTCCCCAGGACTGTTCTTTTGTTGTTGTTTGTTTGTTTTTTGAGATACTGGGGAGGAAGTTGAGGGCCTCACACCTGTTAGGCAAGTGCTGGTCCTCTGAGGTATTACATTTGTTTTAATTCAAGCTTATAAATCTTCCTAAATTGCCCAGACTGGCCTCACGCATACAGTCCTCCTGCCTCAGACTCCCCGTGGCCAGGATCACAGGCATGTGTCCACCATGCCTGGCAGGGTTCTTCAGGGCCAGCCTCACTGATGGCCTCCTGTTTACGCCTTCTGAGCCCCCGACATTGGACAGGCGCAGGGCTTCTCTCTGGAGAGGTGAGATGACCTCCATCCTAGCAGTCCCAGGACCGGAGGAAGAGACAGGCAGTGAAGGGTGTTGGGTGGGGCAGGAGCCCAGGATTCTGTGTGGGCTTAGGGGGGAAGGATGTTGATGGAGGGTTTTAGTGTTGCCACTCTGGGAGCCTTAGGTCCGGCAGATGAGTGAAAATTCCTGGAATTTATATGCTCACAGCTTTCAGCCTGAATGATGTTTATGCTGGGAAACGTGACAGTGGTTTTGTCCGCCGTCTTCTTTCCACACAGCCTCTGAAGTGCATGAGGTTTTATTCGATCCTCACCCCTCAGAATCCTTAAGTGGCAGAAACGTTTATCTCTCGTCTCCACGATGTCTGTCGCAAGGCAGAGTGTAATAAATGTTAGTTCACTGGCTACAGGGTGACCTCACTGAGCTGATAAATCTGTTTCATACTCCAAAAAGGCCAGCATCAGCCAGCAGCTGCAGGTGGCTCCTTGGTAATGAGCTGTAGCGTGGGAGGTTCTGGATCAGCGTGGTCGGTGCCTCTCGGGTGCGCCCGTCCTGCCGTTTGACTGGTGCGCAGCCATCTCAGGTGTGCAGCCCTCTGCCTTCCAGGTCTACTGGCCATGCAAGGATGGGAGCTGAGCTGAGGTGACTTGCCCAAGACTGTGCTGCTGAAACCCGGCTGTGGGCCCGCGGCTTCCCAGCCCTGCCTCACCGTGAGGGGTGCCTGACGTGGCTGAGGCCTGCCCTGTGGGGCGCACACGTGGGCACAGTCTGTAGGCGCTTCCCTCCTCATTCCTAGACACACAGCCCTCTGCCGTAGACGGCGGCCCGCGGAACAAGTGGTGGGAGTGCAAAAGACCTGCGCGGTGAAGTACCAAACGTGGTCCCAGTTGTGGGAAACGTTCCCACACCTTGGGGCAGTGCATGTCCACTTTAACAACTGACCGTGTCGTCCCCTTTTCTTCTCAGGTGCTGCTGCCCCCATACAGTGACACCGCTGCGACTGGCACTGCCAAGGAGCCACCTCCGCCCTACGTGTCTGCCTGAGCCTGAGGGCCGCCCTGCAGCAGCAGCGCTCTGCAGACATCCGGCAGTAGTTCTGAATTCAATCCCGAGACCATCTCATCTGTCGTCTGCTTGCCGCCTTTTCTGGTGTAGATGTTCAGTTGAGGCCCTCTGTAGTTTAGATATACGCTTTAATAGTGCCCCGTGGTAGCCGAGCTGTAGGTCCTGTAGAGTGGGAGTGGGGTTCATGAGCTCCCGTAGTCTTTCCCACAAAACGTAGATGGACCTTGAATTCTGGAAGCCTGATTTTTGTACCTGCTCACCCCCAAGTTGGGCGATCAGTCATAACTTTTTCTGTTTCCTTTGTCCCTTTCAAAAGTAAAATAAAAACCAAAATTGGATAATACTTTCTGAAAACATTCCACTGTGTAGAACAAACCTTTAGGAAACACAAACATCAGTTGCATAATCATTGCTGTAAGTAGATAAATGGAGTCTGTGTGCATTACAGGCATTTCCTTACTGTCCTTCTGACTTAATTCAATGACAGTCTTGCTTTGCCAGTCAGGGATTTTCTCAGTGGAAGCCATGAGGCAGCCCTGACCAGGAGAGCAGGAAGCCCCTCCTGAGGGCTGGGCTGCCTCCGTGTTTGTGGAAAGAGAGAGAGAGACAGAGAGAGAGACTCGTACCTGGTGCTCCTTTTCTCCTGTATTCCCACTGTTGCCACCACCTCAGCCCGAGCCTGGAGGTCACCCACTATGTCTGGGTAAACCGGAAGCAGGCTTCCTTTGCCTGCCAGGTCCATACAGCCTCCTGCTCTGGAAATCCAGATGCCTGTTCACCCTTTAAAACATCCAGGACAGAGCTGTGATTCATGTGTGACTGTCCCAGAGAGCAGCTTTTTATTCATTTTACTAGTGAAAAGACCAACAAAAATGACTAGACCCATTTGTACCACCAGGGGTCCAGGCTGCCCAACAGGACAGTCATGCACGTGCCATTGGTGGTTCATTTGGTGGGAACGTGTTAAATGTCCAGTAGTCTTCTGGAAAGTGGAGGAAGGTAGTTTCCCTTTGGGAATGTTTTAGCCTATCTTGGTTACTTATCTCAACAACAAACCAAACAACCAAAAGTTAAAGGAGGGAAGGTTTATTTTGCACACAGTGTGCAGAGGTTTCAGTCCATAATGGCTGACTCCAAGGCAGGGTGGCTTCACAGAGGAGTGTAATTCATGGCGGGCAGAAGACGGCAAAAACAACAAGGGAGCACAAAACAAACAAAAACAAGAAAGCACAAGACAAGACACGCCTCTTTCTGTCCCTCATGTTATATCCAGTTTCCTAGGGTTAGAGCAATGCCAGTCAGTGGACTGATCCGGAAGTCACCCATACTTAACTCGCATTGCACTAAGAATCAGTCACATGCTCTGGGTACAGCCACGTTCTTAAAAACTGACTACATGAGCTTCGGGGACATCTCGACACAAACCAGAACACCTAGCTACCTGGATTACAACGGGCTTTTATATGTTCCCGTGTTCAGTGGCCTGCAGAGCTTGTGCACTGTTCACAGCAGACTGCATGAGCAGAGGCTTGTGCCTTTCAGCTGAGAGCTGCCCACATCTGGCTAATACCTGCTGACTGCATGGAGCTTGTGCCCAGGACCTTACCTGTCCACAGGGGGCTGCATGGGTACAGCCACCTCGCCTTGCCAGGGGGCCTATGGTTCCAAACCTATACGTGGTTTTTTATTTCAGTGCTGATACAATCAAGCCAGTTCAGCCAGAAAGATAGGGGGCCCAGTAAACCCAGCTTCTGGCATCCAAAGTTTCGGGTGCTCACTGCTTTGTGTATGATCGCTGTGTGACCTGGGCGTACTTCTAATCAGGGATTAACATCACTGTGCCCTGAGGAGATGAAAATAACACGGGGTGATTTTGTTCCCAAGAGCCAACTCTGGCTGTTACTTTAAAGTCTCATCAGTATTCTGAGTCCAACTAAGAGATACTGTTCTTTGAAGCTCTGTGGGTGGAAGATTTACACAGTTAGGCCCTTACAGGTCCTTGGGAGGTGTACAAGAGATCAGTCGCTGGCTTTCCAATCCCAGCACCAAGCGCGTAGGAAATCTCAGGTGTGTGCATGTTGCTCCTGTGACTTTCCAGCTCTTTACCTCACCCTTCTTTGCAAACTAGAAAAGTTTGGCTGTGGGGAGAGAAGAGCTGACCTGGAGAGTGCATGGGATCCTTGGGGAGACCAAGATGCTGACGTCCCTGCCACACTCCTCTGCACTGGGCCCTGGTCACCACTATATTCTCGAGGGTCCTGCAGAATGCCGGTGAGCCTGGCCTCTGTCCCTGGTTCAGCTCTCAGATGTCTCCATATGCACCTCTGCAGGGTTAGGTGTTTTTTTTTTTTTTTTTTTTTGGTCGTGTTTTGTTTTTAAAGACAAGGTGTTGCTACATGATTGAGGCTGCCCTTGAACTTAGTATGTAGCCTAGGTTGGCCTCTTGGTGATCTTCCTGCCTCAGCCTCCCAAGTGCTGAGATTATAGGTGTATGCCACTGTGCCAGGCGGATTGTCTTTCCTGTCTCCCCTCGGGAGATTGTGCTATTTGGATTGGAAGGGCCTTGCAGAGCACCCCAGCAAATCTGCTTATCTCTGCTAATCCAGATACACTCTCTCTTTTAAATGTATTTTAAGTTCTATTTTGATGTCCAGCCCCTTCCTCCTGTTTCACTGTCCACAGAGAAACAAGACACAGTCATCTCAACCTTCCCCTTCCTGGGTGCTTCCTGGTCACTTTGCTGCTGGGAGCTCTTCAGGTTTTTCATCCTGACCCCAAGCCCTTGTTTCAGGTCACCACAGGGAGTCCGGCACAGAGGTCTGCAGAAGGACCTGCCGGGGCAGCCCCTGCAGGCTGCAGTTCTAGTTCTTTGCCTAGGATAAGAGTGAGGCTGTGGTCAAGCCAGCCCACAAGCCGGTCAGACTTCAGGATGCCCAGGGAGAGGGAGGTGGCTGAAGGCCAATAGGCCGTGTGCTCCCTTTGGCGGCTGCACCACCTTCCTGAGTCTGATGTCCTTGTCCCTGGCCTTCCCCAGCCAATTGTCTTCAAGGATGCAAGGACCTCTACCGGCCCCAGCGTTTTTTTAAATACTGTTGTAGCCATAAATATTTGCTCAGTTTGTGTACTGAACCAAACCTCCCTTGCTTTCATCTCCACCCTCAGTTCCCTAATGCATGATTATGTCTTCGTAATGCTCTCCCTGGACCATCTTTAAGGCTGAAGACATGAAAGCTATTTCCTCTCTAGAGGAATGGATGGTACTAGAGATATTTGTCATTTGGGGGAAAAAGTCCTCCTGTGCAGACTGAGCTTTGGTGGTAGAGGACAACTATTGAGACTACAAGCATTTACACCCCCACCAGGGAAGCTGCCTTCAGTGTCATTAAGGCAGTGCTGTGGGCCAGGTAAGTGGCCTGAGGACCTGGGGGCCAGAGCCCTGCCCACACACTGAGCGAATGAACAGCTCAGGCAGAAAGCACAGGCAGAGCTCAGGCTCCCTCCCTGCCCTTTGAACCTAATGAGCACCAAAAACAGCCCAATGCAGTGCTGAATTGGTTTTCAGGGATGCGGACTCTAGAAGGGAAGGGAGGAGGCTTTGCAGCAGCGGCTCCATGCCTGCGCAATTCCATGTTGCCGCTGGCTCTTGCCAAGTTCTCTGCTGCATGGTGTGGCACTGGGGGAGGAAGGCAGGGCTGTAGCCGCCTGCTGCAGCAGCCCATGCAGCCTCGGATGGCTGCGAGCACCAAGTCAAGGCAGGAGAGGGAAGCGGACCCTGCCAGCCCTGAAAAGGCTGCACAGAAGCAAAAGAAGAGACGAGGGGGTGGGGGGGGACCTAATTAGCAAGAGCAGGGTTTCAAGCAGGTGGGATGTTTTGTTGTATCTAACACAAGTTTCACCCCAAGAGTCATTAGCAGTACAGTTTTTAATCTTAGTAAGATGGGAACATCTTTCGCCCAGGATGATGTCAACTTCCTGGCACTGTGTTAAAGTCCCTGAGGGGCGACTTACACAAGATTCATCGTGGCTCACGGTTCCCGAGGCTCAGTCCAGGGTCTGCTGGTGCTGTTCCCTGGGTGCCTCGTAGCAGCAGTGCTTTGCACTGCCTTGCACCCAGCCAGGAGGAAAGGCTCCCCTGCCCCGAGAGGCCACACCTTCGGTGACCAGGACCTCCTGGTGGCCTCACTCCACAGGCTCCTCTACCTTCCTGCAGCACCATGGTGCAGACCAAGGGTTCAACGCAGGGACATTTGCAGGGCACTAAGGATTGAAATGAAAACGAGGATAGGACTTACAGTGCATCCAGGGTGTGTTGCTGCAACAGGGCAAGGGTTTCAGAAGGACCCGTGTGATCTAGGGCGGGTGCTCTGAGGTGGGGACACATTTCTCTTCATTAATGCTGGGACTGAGTGGTCCCCACTCTGTACTTAAGCCTGTGGCAGCTCCATCTGTCAGCTGGCTGCTTGGACGCAGCATCCAGCTTGGTTCATTCCTGGAGTCTGGGTTCAGGGCTTCAAATCCAGGCCTTGTAACAGGCAGGGGAGGCTTCTGCAGCACTGATGTGCCCGAGGCTCACCCTGGCAGCAGTGCAGTGGACCCTGCTGTCCTAGGTGGGGGTAATGTCCCTCACATCAGGATAGTGACATACCTGGGTGATGTTACTCTTCACCCACTACTGACTCACACTAAAAGAATGCATTTTTAGTTTCATTTTATTATTTTAACTCTAGATCCGTTTTATTAAATTTATCTGTCCTAGGATTTAGCTCAGCAGGCATAAGCACCTGCCTGGCAAGCACAGGGTCAAGAGTTCGATCCCTGGTACCAAATAAAAAATAAATAAATAAATTTATCTGTCCTACATACAGTCCCCTAATAAGTGATAAGAACTGGGCATGGCAGCAGGCACCCGCAATCCAGCACTCGGGAGGCTGAGGCAGGAGGATGGCTGCCCAGTGAGGCCAGCCTGAATTACACAGGGAGGCCCCATCTCAAAGAAAAACAGAAAAAGAAAAAAGAGGATAATGCCAGTTGTGCCGTGTCATCAGTACTTACCAGGACTTCTTTTTCAACTGTTTTTTAACTTGCTGAACTTTGTTCCTTGGGCCCCAGGTAGAGCATTGTCTCTGCACCCTCCCAAATACCCCTGGTGACAGGAGTTGCTGGGACCCCAGCCACAGACCCCCTGATGGGAGTGCATACACCCTGCACCTCGGCCCTTTCTCTCGCCTCTATCTGACCGGTGCTTTGGCCTCTGACTTCTTCTTTATGCCGTACAATGTCATTACCATTTCCTGAGCCTTTCCAGCAGCCGGGCATCAGCAGGTACTACCTCTTCAGTGTCTG